TAAACCTGCTATGTTCTCCCAATTCAAAAGATCCCGCCTCCCCCTCCACTTTTGCTCGTTGTGATTCCGGCAATTTACCCAGCCGCCCAAGGCCACCCGTGGCCAGCAATGGTTTTCTGTTTTAGTTTATGTCAGCCGACTGAGTATTTGAGTTAGTCGGACCTCATGCCCATTGTTCCCTACAAATTGCGAAAGAGACCTGTTATTATTATTTCATGGAATACTTCTCACTATTCATGACAATGTCCCCTTTTCGCGGAATCCCCACTACCTATTTTGACTGCAAACGCATGATCATGCCAACGGTATGCCACCCACAAGTTGGGAATAAACATGGATCATAGCGGACACACTGCGCTGGGACTCTGTGCTTGGGTCCGGGTCAGCATCATAAGACACCCGCTTTGCGGACCGCGTAGCAAGCATACGTTTGCGTTCTCTGGGTTGGCCCGGAGCTAAGAACCAGAAGGAATTTATTTTCACCTGGACTCACCTTTGGGACAAGCCTGAAGAGCACCACAACACAGCGGGCAAGGTTCACCATCACGACAGTCGGCGTGATATGATACGCGATCCGTTGCACACCTGCGGGCACTGGCAATAGTCGGCCGGTCACAGAGCACACAAAAGCCTTAGTCTGCGTTCGAAGACCGGCATCTGGGTTGAGATGCAATATCGTCGACCACCAACGGCAGGCCGTCAGTTGCAGACTTTGAGCCTTGGCGCAGCAGGATTTTCCTCTGAACTATCGCTCGCTTAAAGATGGCTGTGGACTTCCTGGATTCCAGCCTCTGAAGCGTATCCATCACTCAGTTCAGTTGTTCACGAAAGCATTCAAAAGTTGTCGGCGGTGGTTTGGGAACAAGTGTAAGGGGTACACGGTTTTCCAGTAGGTTGTAATCCGACAGCAATTGTTGGTGGATTGAGAAACAAGCTAAGAAAGAGTCAATGGTGAATGGTTCTGTGAGAATCAGGTTTCGCGGATATATCAATATAACCAGACGAACAAGAAATCCAGAATTCAGATCAGCGTAACAAATAGCACGTATGTATTCGAATTGGCGAATATGTAGAGCACATGGAATATTAAAACAGGAGAATAATGAATAGAGCAACGAATAGAGCATCAGTCATGTTCATCACAGGTTCTTACTGCTCATATCGAACTGATCTCGAAATAAAGGGAACGGGTATGTGCAGGGGAGCCACATCGCCTGCTGGAAAGTGCATGTGCATTCTCCAGCACAGATGTCAACAGTCTGGGAGCATCTGGGTGTTTGTACCACGAACTATAAGTCAACTTATGTAGCCTGACCTCATCTTGCTTGTTCCAACACTTTCACACGGCAGCCTCAGCGGTGTGCGTGCATGGCCCATTTTCGGGTGATGTAAAACCAGCGGGCTGTAAGATAGGAAACAAATCTGGGATTGGTGAGGTACAGTAGTTGCAGGTCTCGCCGGAATCTGTGTGCTTGTAATACGATGAGCAAAAAACCTACTGTACAGCTTTGTGCAGGCGAGCCAAACTAGAAATATGTGCCGGCTGTTCGCAGAATGTGTAGCTCCCATCAACCCTCTAAATGAACAGTTATCATTGTGAATGAGTATAACTCTTTACGTAACCTGTCACTCGCTCCTTGGAGTGTTGCTCACTAACGCTAACGTAACCCGTTAGCCAAATTATCTGATGCAGTACACATCCTTGGTGTCAGTGTTTTTACATCGCTAGTCATAAGAAACCTGGCTCGCTCTTGGATAGCTCTTAAAGAGGATAGGTGTCTGCGTGTCTACCCATTAGGCGTTCCGTATGAGCCAATAACATCCAGGCGACAATCTTGCTGACGATTGTGTATGTCATTCCCACCAGCAGTTTACGGGAATCTCGCGGTACTCTGGAATGGGTGTTTTCAAAGTACACCTGGAATGCGTCGGAACAACGCTATCTGCTGCCATCAGGAGAAGCGTACGTGGCTACGGTGACCCTCCTCTGACTGGCAAGCAAGCGCGCATCCGGTCTCCCGAAGTTTAGCCAAAACCGGAGGTTTATCGTCTGCCACAAACCTTAACTATGCGTCACTTACTCAACATAGCCGGTCGATACTTCCGGCGGTGGTTACATATATCCTGAGTGGTGTAGTGGTCTGGCTACCCAATAAGTTAGTTTACCAGGAGTGTGTGGCAAAGAAGTAAAAATAATTACGCTAGGTTGGGTATACAAAAATAAAGAGATCAGATGGAACAGACTCACTAACAATTGTTCTCTTTAAAGTAGTTCGTCGTTGGCCCAGGTCAGCGAATAAACAATAGTCCAATTATGTTGGTCCAGTTCCCACATATAATAGATTCCGAAGATGTCTGAAATGTTTTGGTACCAGAGTTAGTACATGAGACTCGCGAATGACCGCTGCAAGCGCGAGCGAAATCAGAAGAGAGAGCCGAAGCGCGCGACCACCCTTGTATTATGTGAAATTGTACAAGTGCGCATTTTTGTAGTTTTTCGTATTCAAACAAAAACCGATTATGCAATTGATGAAGTACGTAGTGTTATAATGGAAGTAAAATAAAGGTACAAAACGCCACAGTGGTAAGAATCCTGCCGAATTTATCCACCACCACCTCACATGACGACGTTCCATATTTCAGAAGACGATACAGCTACCAATTTCTCAACGAATGCTGATGAAGCCATTTCCTAACCCATAGAACACCAATATCTGCGCCAAATTTTCGGAAGGAGACCAGTCAAAACAAATCGCAAAAAAGTGATGGCAGACGAGGGTGATTTTTGGATCGACCACATATGCAAAGAAGTGCAAAATTTTGACACTAAAGTTTTATTTGCTACACAAGGGTTTTGCGGAGGCACGTCAAGGCACGTCATTCCATATATTGATGCTGGAAACTGAGCCAATCAGAGCGTCGAACTTTCAGTGCCTGCCATTTCAGTTTTGGTCCGTTGCTTTGTCTGGATGAGCACCCACTTGTCGTTGTTCGGGCGGGTGCTGTTTGTGGTTTGGAGATAAGGAGCCACAGAAACCCGCTGAAATGCCACCACCTGAAAGAATTACACTGGCCCTGTGAAGCTGTGTCCCCCACCTATGCTTGGTTCTAGTGGTCGTGTAGTTCTACCGGTTGTAATTTGGGGTCCCCAACCACCTGACCACCCGGTAACATGTATATTGGCATCCCCGGACGGTTTGGATCTAGTAACTGGATCTCAAGATGGCACTCTCATCCTATGGAGCAGTCGAAAGTCTTCCGAGTATATACCAAAGTGGATGGTTATCGGTCATCACACAACGGTCCGGAATATTTGCCTTGCTGAATCTGCGGGTCATGGACTTAGGAACTCCTTTTTCAGCCATTCGGATGCAGGGTAAGTATTTTTTCCAATGGTGTGTGAAATTTTCTCATTTTCCACAACATGCACGTTCCCTATGAGGTGCCTGGTGAATGAGTGTTCATTCCTGGTGCCATCCTGAAAACTCGGGGATTACTTGCAAAATGTGCAAGTGTCGTTCTACAATGAATATGCGCGCAAAATCGACAACTAGTGCGCGTTTTAAGCGGTCCAACTAAGAGGTGCAACGACGTACGACATTCACAGGTCGACACATCCGACGTAAAATAATTTCCAGAAATGTTTTAGATTAAAGCTGTACCTAAACTACTTCAATCACATGGCCTAGTCAGATCTCTTTCTGTTGCTTTTGGATCATAGATTTTGCCGATATTCGGCGATGGGGAACCAATGCCACCAAATTTAAGCGGAAGTTTTAGTGGACAATTTCATTTTTGTTGAAATCACTGCGAGTGCCCTTTTTTAAATAGAAACCCAGTATCGAACCCCCTCAGTTGGCGGGAACGTTTTTCTTTACAAAAAACGCGCGTTCCCATTAAGTATTCCGCTTACAGTTCTGGACAGCCAGTTGGCAGTCATCGGAACTTTTGGCTTTGTGTAACTCCGATGCAGTTGGAGGTTCATATCGGTAAAAAACCTCGAGAACGGCAACAACCGGCGAGCTGAATAATCATTCAGCTTGCACGCTTTGTGGTCTAGGTGCGTTTCCCGCTCCTGCTATGTCATCCTTATATGTTTTATATGTCGTTCTTTCACTCACTGAAGAATTCTGGGTTTAGCCGCAATGGCTTTCTGGCATTCCAAAACTTTTGCACGTCACGAGGAGACTGGACCTTACCGTGGTGTGCGTTTCCCCTGCTATGTCATCCTTATATGTTTTATATGTCGTTCTTTCACTCACTGAAGAATTCTGGGTTTAGCCCCAATGGCTTTCTTTCTTTCCAAAACTTTTGCACGTCACGAGGAGACTGGACCTTACCGTGGTGTGACGGTTTGCGCACCTCAGAGATCCATTGAGCTATACTGGAGAGTGTCCCGCGACACTCACAGAATCTCATACCAGGTTGGTCAATGGTTAGAGGTCTGTCGAACACAGTCTCCTGGCCCTCCAGGTTGGGGGTTGGAACATGTGGCGACTTGTTCCGTAGAAATGCTAATGCATTTGCATTTCCCGCAAAACACCGCTACCTTGCGGTTAGGCTTTTGAGCCAAAGGCTTTGGTTGAGGACCCTAATCGTCCTCCTGTCTAGGTGTGGGCGCCCTGGCAGTATCCCAGCCCACGTACAATTATGAATTGCACATACACAAATAAACTCATGCCACATCGGCCGTCGCGTGGTGCCATCAGCCGGGTCGCCTTACTTGCTGCATACAGCAGGGCGGGTAAGCGAAAATAGGCTACTGCTGACGCCTCCCTTCTTTCTCCTTCACATGCTTTTTCTTCCCCCCTCCCCACCCCATTAATAACTCTCTCCTTGTAGG